GTTCACGGGAAAGACAGCAATCTGCCGATGTGCAAAGGTAGCCTAGCTTTTGCACAGTGTGAAAGGGGTGGTTCATACTCCATGTTGTTTCTCAACGGTGCTCATCCAAACTGATTTCTAGACCGGGGTGGTGACTGACTTCTATAATACTGGCTATTTGGGAGGCTGTGATCAGGAAGATCAAGAATCTCCAAGGCCAGTCCAGACACAAAGAGTTCATATTGTATTTCAACAGGAAAAAAGAAAGATGGGCATAGTGGTTTGATTCTGCTATCCAAGCTACACTAAAAAGCTGAAATAGGGGGATCATGATCCAGGCGAGACCCTATCTCAACAACAACCTGAGCAAAGAGGACCTAAAGCTCTTTCGGACAGTATAATACCTGCAGAGCCTTGAGTTCAAACCCCAGTACTACAAAAAAGAATATATTATTATTATTACCATTACAGGACCAAGCATCCCCAAAAGCAAAGAAGCCCACAGAAGCTCGAGGTGGTCACCTGCTACTGCCAGGATTCAGATGTCTCTCCTGTCTTTTGACTCCAGCAAGGCTTTTAACTCCTTTGAAAGCAGGGGCAGCAGTCAGGACACGCCGTCCATAATTGCTACTCACTTTGAACAAAATGGTGTGCAGAAAAATCCTTGATCGGAAGCCTTCAAGTGAGGCAGAATTAAGTGATGGAGAAACTTCTGGGCTTGGCACTGGATAAAGCTTTTTCCTTTTTTTTTTTTTTTTTAATGAATGCCCATCCTCTCCTCAAAGCAGCCTGGCCAGCTGGCCGACAACACAGAACGGGTTCTCCATCCATCAAGGAAATACAGTAGCCCATTTCAGAAATGATGCAGAGATAGCTATTTTGCAATGCCCCAGCCTCTTCAAAAGCACAGAAAATGCATTCCATCTCAAAAAAAAAACCTCAAAAATAAAACCATTAGTGTCTCACACGTGGGCACCAAGAGCAAACGGATGGCAGTGAGAAATAGGAGATGTGTTTGTGTGACATTGCCAGAGACAATCAATGCCCTTAAGGAAAAAAATGTGGCTCACGACATTTTAACCCTTTTCCTTGAGGGGTTTGAGGGTATTAATATTAATGATATTAATGATCCACTAATGAACCTATGGGTTGCACTCAGTGTTCACATGGCCTACTTGGAAGCTGGCAGGAAATATTAAACTCACATCTCTTAAGATCCCCATGTATACAGAATATCAGGTCAGGCTCTTAGTAAGGACAAGGTTTTACCTGCTATTTTAAGGGGTCATGCGGGGACGATTTTACAGTTGAATATTTTCTGAGTTGCCAATATGATTTCTTTCTCTGGCAGGTCCAACTCTTGGTTTTTCCTTCTCCTAAGTCATTCCTGTATGCTCCCTCCCTCCCTCCTTCCATTCCTCCATTTTTCCCCTACCTTCTCTTCCTCTATGTCCCCTCTCCCTTCCCTTCCTCTATGTCATCTGTGCAAAAATATGTATTAAAGGGTTCTCTAGGTTCTCTGAGAGAGAGTTACTGAGAGAGGAAAAGAGGGGAGATCAATTTTCACCCAGTGGGGAGCAACCCAAGGAAACACCCACCATGGGAAAGAAGTCAGGGCGTGCCAATGAATGGACTGACACAGCTGTGGGTCTGGGGAAGGGTGGGCAAGCATAGACACTGGGTGGGTGTCTCCACCCGTATTTGGGGGCCTTGCAAGGTGAGGCATCATGAGTCCACATTTGTAACCCGCAACTGGCCTCCTCATCCCCTCACTCTGACCAACTTCAGAGTGCTGAATACTCCGTGTAGCCAGTATCTTCATCATGCTTGCCTGCTGGTCTTTCGTTTTGCCCTACCATCACCACCACCACCATCATAGTCTGACTTCCTGAGGTAGCTGGTCTTCTCTGAGAGTGTCTTCCTGTCCTTCCCTGAGTGCCCTGAAGAAAGGCAGGGCTGACAGTCCCTCCCCTGGACCCTACACTGACCAATCAAATGAGAGGGAAAGCTATACTGGGACTCCCAAGCTCAGTGCCTAAACTGCCTGGCAGCACCCCCCCCCCACAAACACATATACATTGTTTCTTCTCAAAGCATCCCAAGTGGCCAGGCTGGGGACACCTGCACTGTGCAAAGGATAGACCATCTAAGTGGTTCCCTTCCTCAACTCTGGCTAAACTCCCAGACACAGTCAGCATCTCTATCAGCCCTCCAGCCCTGGTGGCAAGCATCAGGGCCTGAGGGGTGTAGGGTTCACAGGGTGCAGAGAATTGGTCACGTGGGGCCCAGTCAGCCCACCGCATCATGAGGATAGCTTTACGCTAAGCCAGCTTACATAGTGTGCTGATCTTGCTCATTCCAAACTGTGCTTCCTCGGGCAGGCAAGTCACAGATGTAGTAGTTCCATCAGGAAACAAATTCTATGTCCCACTAATCAGAAAGACTAAAGCAGAAACGAAGACAGGTTTCATGTCCCAGGAACCCAGAAAAACGAAAGGAGAAACAGGTTCGATGTCCCTCTACTCAGAAAAACTAAAACAGCAACCAAGACAGCCTCAGCAGGCTCCATAAAAGAGTCTGATGCACAAGGACACAGAGAGAAAAATCAACTGGAAGTATAGAGGAGCTACAAGGGGAACATTTCCTGGGCCATCACAATTGGACCAGGCACAGAGCGGGTGGCATTATTTCTTGGTGTCGTACAACAGGAAGAGACTGTTGTATCGTTGTTCCTTGAAAATTTAATTCTATAGGAAAAAAATTAGTAACTCTCCATTAGCCAGAATGTTGAGATCATCAAACCGTTTACGTTTTGGAGTCAATCATCTTACACATACATATACAACCCATTCCTTCTGGCCTCATTCCTGAGATTCTCCCATGATATCACATTTATTCTTGATCGGAGACAAAGGACATAAACTGGGAATGAGGAAGAATAGCTCTTCTTCTAAAATAGTGAAATTGTCATCTACCTCAAAGTGGAAACCTGCATCATGACACCTTGAAACACAGCTGCCTTTCTCAACATTGGTATCTGCCAAGAATCATGCTATGACTGTCCCACACAGCCACAGATCTGCCCTTCCCAACTCTGTGGAAGCTGGCACCTTCCACCCTTGGCAAAGGGGAAAGCTAAGACCTAAAGGCTGTAGAGAGAATAGATATGATGGCAAAAGCTTATACTTAGAGTAACTGTATATCCAGGTTAGAAATTCTCCTCTAACCACTTGCTTTTACACAGGCAACTCGGAGGCCCGTTGAGAAGCTCGCAATTGCCTTCTCTCCATAGTCACAGGTTAACATTCTTACCTCCAGGACCTCAGAAGGAGGCTGTCTTTGGAGAGAGAGCCTCTAAAGGAATAATGAAATCAGGTGACCTCACCAGGCTGTGGTCACTTAGTCCAATCTGACTGGTGTCCTTGAAGAAGAGATTAAGATACAGAAATGCAATCAGAAAGGGTCATGTGGAAGTACAGCCAGAAGACCGAGAAACCCAGATCTCAGATTCTCTGGCCTCTAGATCTGTGAGCAAATAAATGTATGTCGGTAATGCTCTGTGGTACACCACCTCTGTTACAGCAACTCCAACAATCCAACCCAAACCTCCCAGGAAACATCGGATGAGATGCAGTCCACCCTAGTAATCTCCTAGGCTTCATCTATTCAAGCAAGGATCACTTACTCCGACTCTGAGCTTTTCTCAATGCTCGGCTTGTTTTATTTCAGAAACAAGTGACAGCAAAGGAGAAGAAGATATTTCTTCTACAGAAAAGACCCAGTCACTCCAAGGAAGGATGGCTCAAATGGCAACTCGGGTGTAAGAAAGCGGATTGTCTCGACTTTGGGCTGTACAAAGTACAGGATGGACATATTGGCAGATCCAAGGGTTCTTGGGATCTTAGACTGGCCCCCATGGGCAGTGGGATGTGTTCACATTCTTCTCTGAGTCAGAGAAGCTCAGGCTCCTGGCTCGCTCTCCCCAGACAGAAGTACAGACAGCAGCCATCTGTAGTGATTACACATTCCTTTATATTAATCTGGTCATCACCATTCAGAATAGAGAAGAGTTTCTCTAGACTCCTTTACTTAACTATGTGGTTTGGCATAGACATTTCATTGCTTCTAGAAAAATACCCTGCCTAGATACTTGCTATTTGTGTGTGTGTGTGTGTGTGTGTGTGTACCAACTGCCTTGACTAACTCATGAATCAATCTCTTATTTCTTGCCCTCAGGGGAAAAGACTATTGTAAACAACATGGGTGTCTATTGATATTACATGACCATGGAAAATTGTAAAGAATTTGGTCAGCATGCTTCTTTGAGCAGTTAGTGTTCTTGAAACTCAGCCCTGGTTCCAAACAGAATTCTCCCAAAGCACAAATATAGAGCAACTCAAAGGAGATCCTAGGTCTAGATTGTGGAGTACAGCTGAGCACCCCTTGTTGAGCCCCTTCTGCTGTAGACTGTAGATTGCTGCATTCACAGCACCCAACAAAGCAGACAAAACCCTTATGTACCTCATATAGGGTCATTTCAGGCAATGTATAGAACTCAAGCTTGAATGCAAACATGGAAAGTACCAGCAGAGGGAGACAAAGCTGCTTCCCAAAAGCCTGGTCCCTTCGAAAGCCTTCCAGGGAACAATGGTTCCAAATTATAATAAGCCAGGTGCAGGTGGCTCATGCCTGTGATCCTAGCTCCTGAGGAGGCTGAAATCTGAAGATCACAATTCGAAGCCAACTTGGGCAGGAAACTCCATGAGACTTTCAATTCCAATTTCCAACAGTAAAATAGTAGAAGTAGAGTTGTGGCTCAAATGGTAGAAAACCATGGATGCCCTAAGTTTAAGCCCAAGTACTGGAACCAAAAAAAGATAGCTAGACAGACAGATAGATAGACAGACAGAGAGACAGACAGGATAGATGATATGGCCAGTGTTTGATACAATATTCATATATGATTGATACTTATATGCAAGCATAAAATCATTTGCCTTCTATGGATCCAATAGGCTTACCTGTTATACAGAAGAATATCTGGTTTCCAAATCTGGCCATCAGGGAAATGCACGTTCTTCACGCCTGGATATTCTGACATATTCCACTGCAAATAGTGATCTGTCCAAGACTGACACACAGAGACAACCGCCATTAGTAGCATTTTGCTTCCTGGCTTACTTCTGTTTCTTGTAAGAGACTATTTTTAGGCTAGTTCAAAGTCAAAAAGACTTCCAGACATTTATTTACATAACTGAGCCGTTATCTATAAAATATAAGGAAAATGGGAATTAAATAATCCCTTTTGAAATGAGCATGAATAGCATAAAAATGACACTTAAAGCCTTTGCTGTCACTGTTAGCCACCTTTGGATGACAAGCACCAAAGCTAATGCTAAGCCTCTGTACACCTCTGGGTCCTCTCCTGCTGAAGTAATAGGTTTTCCTTGCCAAATGAGTGACTGTGGTGCTTTCTAAATTTTCATTATGAGGAGATTTTGAACAAATAAAATTCACTTTATTCCAGGCTGTAGAAATGAATTCCATTTTTCTGTGAACTGCAAGAGAAACCTCAAGAAACTTCTAGAAGCCCAATTTGAGATGTGAGCTTGGAGGAGGCACCATGGCCTTGGCCATGAGAGGTAGAGTAGGGGAAAACGGAGAACAGCCCAGGACTCCAGAGATCTTCACAAGCCTGTGGCCTTAGAACCAAGTCTTACTTTAGGTTCCCGATGACCTTTGTCAAAGAAAGGACCATTCACCAGTGTCAGTGGCTCACATCTGTCATCCTAGCTACTCAGGAGGCTGAGATCAGAGGATCGCAGTTCAAAGCCAGCCTGGGCAGAAAAAGTCTGTGAGATTTTTATCTCCAATAAACCACCAGAAAACGGCACTGCTGATGGTAGGCACTCGCCTTGAGCTGAAGAGCTGAGGGACAGCACCCAGGCCCAGAGTTCAAGCCCCATGAAGAAAGAAAGAGGGGAGAGAGGAGGGAGGCATGAAGAGAAGGAAGGAAATGGAGGGAAGGAAGGAAAAAGAAGGAAGGAACGAAGGAAGGAAGCGATCAAGCTAGCAAGTGAGTGAACCCAGGCCCTGAGTTCAAGCTCCAGTACTGGCCCACATAACAAAATAAGATTGGTTACCATAGAAGACACCGCATATTTGGTGTCAGAAATCAACATCTAACCATTTATTTGAAAATTCTTCCAATCAACCATTTTGACCTGAAAGGAGGAAAGTGAGCCTCCTCCATCCTGACTCCAAACGCTTCCTTCTCTTAGCCAGACATGGCGGCTGACTCACCTATGCCCACCCCGATGCTAGCAGCACCCTCGCAGCCCAGGCCTGCTAATGTTATGAGCGGTCACTTCCATGCGTTGGAGAGAATAAATGCAGAAATTTTTAAAAAAGGAAACAGTTCAGCAACAATTAGGGTTGTACAATCTAATCTTCTTGGATGCGAATGCTATTAGTGCCATAATTACAATGAGGAGGTTAAAAATAGACAATAAATAAAGGAAGGCTAGGACATCCAACGACAGAGAAAATCGTCAATATTCCAAAAGAATAGAAGGGAGATTTTTAAAAAATAGTTAATGCAAATCTCTGAATGGCTGCAATGTCTGTTCAGAAAGAGAAATGGTTCCTGTCATTCGTTATCATACATTAAATCAGATCATATCTGACAGGCCCTCTCTACTCCCAGAAAATCCATCACTGGCTGCTCCCTCTGAGGGGAGGCCAGAGGTAAGTGGCAAGATTGGCAACTCAGCTTCTGCAAGCTAGAAGAATCAAGGACAACTGGGCGAAGAAAAAAAAAAGATAAAATCAACATGTCAAAGAGAATTCCATTTCTTTACCCCCCCCCCCACCATTCTTCTTACTTCTCTGCCTTTCATTCTGAGTGGCATAGCCCAAAAAGGAAAAAAAAAAGACCTCAAAGTTTAAATACTCTGGAGAGGAGATTCTGTTGGTTCAGATTTTCCTATGTGGAAATTAGCAGCAAGAAATGGAAGGGAGTAGAAAAGCCAGGGTGGGGAATTCTTCTCTGACTATCCCGCCTCCTGCCCTCATTTCTGCTTCCTGGAACCCGGCCCTGTTCAAATTCAAAATTGAGCTTCTTTGCTTCTTGCCTGTGTTTTCACTCGGGCAGGGGCAGGCCAGGCTGATCACCAGGCCAAAGGATGCAAGACCAAAAATTAATACATGCCTCTTTCTAAACAGCCCCAGGGGAGCGTCTATGGCTCCCTTGGGGATACCTGTGAACCCCTGTGTCCACATTTTGGCCACCTAAGACACCAGGGTTGTCACTCTTGAAATGTAGGGCTCGGGCAGGGCACAGAGGCTCAGGTTTATTTGCTTTGTTCTAAACTCAAGCTTCTGGGAATGCCTGTAATCATAGCTATTCAGGGGGCTGAGACCTGGAGAATCACTGGTCAAGGCCAACCTAGGGAGAAAAGCTCATGAAACTCCATCTCCCAAATAACCAGCACGACACTGGATTGGAAGCCTGACTCAAGTGATAGAATACCAACTATAATCAGGAAAGCAAGGCAAGACAGGAGCCAGTGGCTCATGCCTGCAATCCTAGCTACTCAGAGGCTGAGATCTGTGCATCACAGTTTGAAGCCAACCAACGGAGGCAGGAAAGTCCATGAGACTTTTCTCTCTGACCAATCACTAAAAGTCAGAAATGGAGTTGTGGCTTCAGTGGTAGAGCACTGGCCTTGGGCACAAATGTTCAGGAACAGCTCCTGGGCCCTCAGTTCAAGCTCAGGATCCCATAAACAGAACAAAAATAAAATAAAGAAGAGGAGAGGAGAGGAGGAAGGAAGGAAAGGAGGAAGGGAAGAAGGGAGGAAGGAAGGAAGGGAAGGAGGAAGGGAGGGAGGTAGGAAGGGAGGGAGGAAGGAAGGAAGGAAGGAAGGAAGGAAGGAAGGAAGGAAGGAAGGAAGGAAGCAAGGAAGGAAGGAAGGAAGGAAAGGAAGGGAGGGAGGGAAGGAAAGAGGGAAGGGAAGGGAGGAAAGAAAGAAAGGGAAGGGAGGGAAAGGAAAAGAAAGGAAAGGAAGGCAGATTAGAGTGTGTGAGGCCCCCGAGTTCAAGTCCTAGTACCAGCACACACATGTGCAATCACACACACACACACAATGCAGGAGTGGGGACAAGAATATTCCAGATCAATGCTATCAGCCAGCTTCATAAAGAATTTGGCTTATTCAAACATCAGCTAAGGCTGGGACATGGAACAATCTTCCTGTTTAGAAGATTCTGGGCATTTCCTTGCCTCCCATTTTCCTAGAGCACTGTGACACCCTGAGTCCACCCGCAAGCTGAACCCTTGCTCTAGTTCTGGGGACCCCATGCCCTTCCTGTGTTCACCTCTTTACTTTTTCTGACTTAATTTTCTTTAAATTGACCCTTATTATACATATGTATGAGTTTAGTGAGATAATTCAAGATATAATATAATGTGAAATAATCACACTAATTAGCCTTTGCATCTCCTTAAACGTTTATTATCTCTTAGTGGTTAACCTTTCTTTAAATGAGTTCATTACAAGGCCTTATTGTAAATGCGTGAAAGGGGGTAAAGGTTTTAGATTTTCAGATACCTTCACATATCTACATAGCAGGTGCTCCCAAATGTGGACTGAGTAGGTCAGTAAGGTGTGTGTGTGTGTGTGTGTGTGTGTGTGTGTGTGTGTGTGTGTGTGTGTGTGTGTGTTGGTCCTAGGGCTTGAATTCAGGGCCCAGGAAGGCCCTACCTCTGAGCTTTTTGCTCAAGGTTAGTGTTCTACCACTTGAGCCAAAGCTTCACTTCTGGCTTTTTGGTGGTTAAGTGGAGATGAAGGTCACACAGACTTCCCTGTCAAGACTAACTTCAAACTGTAATCCTCAGATCTCAGCCTCCCGAGTAGGTAGGATGAGCTACTAGTTGTCTGGCTTTCCTTCATGTTTTATCTCTGGGCAAAGACTCAAGAACCAAACTCGGATTCAGGTGGACCTGTTGCAACAATGAGAAGTACAAAATGTCATGTCAAAACCAGCTTTACAATGTCGGTGGGGGGGGGGGGGTATGATTGGGTGGAGGGGGGAGGCTGGGAAGGGAGGTGAAGGGTAAACAAAGGAGGAGGCTGCAATGCTTGGTAAGAAATGTATGCATTATCCTGCCCATGTAATTGTAACCCATGTAATTGTACAGTATGTTCTCAAATTAAAAAAAAAAAAAAAAGAACCAAACTCGGGTCCAACCCCAATATCAATGTGTGAGAATGACTACAAAAATTATGTGATGGACACTTGCAAAGTGCAGTTTTGGTATGTTTGTTGCACATTCATGTGAGACAATGTCTCACTCAGTAGCCCAAGCTCACCATCCTTCTTCCTTAACCTTCTGAGTGCTGATATTACAGGTGGACACCACCACACCCAGCCAGGTGAGATGGGTTTATTTTTTTTTCCAATTTTTTGCTTTCAACAAAAATGAAGGGGAAACCAATCAAGTTGTCAGCCCGAGACACTTGAAGAAAACACCATTGTTCCTAGCATATCATCTGGAAAAAATTCAAAGAACTGAATAACATTGCTTTAACAAAATCCCTCATTACTGACTCCACATGTTGCTGGGTCTATGAATAAAACTGTAGTAGAGCTGGTAGGTGACAATTTTATTGTCCTTTAATTTCTAGAAATAAAAAATAATCACCTGTGGGTATGTAAATTAACTGTGGTTGACACAAGCACGGATTTCCAATTAAAAAGTGTTTAATGATTTATGTACTAAGTTTATAATCTCTGTCACCTTGGTGAATTATGTTAGCCATAACAGCAATCTTCAATCAGCCCACAAGAAAAAATATGAAAATCCTTCTAGCCTGAGGGAAAAATATGGTGTTTGGGTATTTTTTTTTTTGGCAGCCCTGGGGTTTGAACTCAGGACAAATGCTTTACCACTGTAGTCATACCTTCCACATGCTGTTTTGCTTTAGTTATTTTTCAAGGAAAGGTCTTATGATTTTGCCTGGATCCAGCCTTCAGACTGTGATCCAACATCATGTGCAGTTCATTGACTGAGACAGAGTCTCGTTAATGTGTTGGCCCATTTGGGCCTCAGCCCAACCTCTTCCCCCCAAATGACCGAGATGATGGGCCTGAGCCATTGTGCTTGGCTTGAAAGAATTGTTTTTATTTAAATACTTAAAAAAAAATTTTGTCAGTTGTGGGGCTTGAACTCTGGGGCTGGGTGCTGTCCCTCAGCTCTTCAGCTCAAGGTGAGTGCTCTACCACTTGAGCCACGGCACCACTTTCGGTTTTCTGAGTGGTTTATTAGAGATAAGAGTCTCACGGACTTTCCTGCCCAGGCTGGCTTTGAACCATGATCCTCAGATCTCAGCCTCCTGAGCAGCTAGGATGACAGGCGTAAGCCACCAGCGACCGGCTATAAATAACATTTGAGGGGAGAAAAAAACCAAGATGGGGCACATGAATGAAAGATTGACAAGTATTAAATTATTTGCAACTGGACAGACAGGACAAATCCTAAAGGAGAACTGGATTACAGGTGCAGGTGCACAATGGCTGTAGTAGTGCACACTTATAATCCCAGCACACCAGAGTCTGAGGCAGGACAATCATGTGTGAGGTCAGCCCGAGCTACATAGCAAGACCCTGTCTCAAAAAAAAAAAAGAAGAGTAAAATAAGCAAGCAAGAAAGGCAGGTACAAAGAGAAAAAGCAACTGTGTATAACACCTGATAACCAAAGAAAGATTTACTTTATATGGATCTTAAATGAATGACATGAACATAGAATTATTATGGTAATTAGAGTCTACCTGAAATAGGAAAGGGCAGTTTTGTGTTCGAATTCCCATCGTTTCCATTTGATGAGTGTGGCATCCTTCCCAGTTAATTAAATTTAGAATAGAATCATGAAAGTAAAGTAAAAACAAAGCAAAACAAAAAATCCAAGCATTCAGGCTGAGATGCCCTTACTGGGTCAGAAATGTTTCATATTTGGGTGATTTTTTTATGGATGTTGAAATATTTGCATAGACTTTACTGGCTGAGCATCCCTAATGTAAAAAAAAAAAAAAGATTCCCCAAATCTAAAATCTGGAATACTCCAAGAAATCGGAAATCTTTTGAGTGGCAGGCTGGCAATCAATATTCCTACGCGAGTATTGATTACGGATTTCGGAGCATTTCAGATGATGGATTTGGGGATTAGGGATGCCCAACCTCTATAGCCCTCCAAGCTTCTCACAGGAGTTGCCTGAGGAAACAACAGCAAAGGCTTCCGGCTTAGGAACCCACATTCTGATTCTAACCCACCATGAGAAGGATCCGGAGCACCAGGCAACTGCCGCTGGGTCCCAGGGAACAGCTACAGGACAGGTTGTGCTCACTGACGTGCAGCCCTGCATGTTATGATTTGTCTTAACATGACATGGTTTTGGAATGTCCCCAACTCACACACACACAGCAGTTAGGATATCCACTTGCACCAAGCCCTGATGTTTGTTTTCAACCACCTACAGGTCTTTGTGGATTCACTGTGGTAAGTCTGTGATGTCATGTCCCCAGTATTTATGATTGGAACATGTGGCATCAAGGGGCTGGTGGGCCAGCTCCTTGCCTTCTTGACCTTGAATCTCAGAAGCAAGCATTGAGCAGACCAGAGGCAAGAACAAACCAGAAACACGAACAAACCAGAGGCAAGAACAGACCAGAGGCGGGGGGCGGGGGGGGGGGCAGACGGGAGGCATTCTGTTTCACTTACCATTTGCAGCCAGATGTTGGTGGTTAAAACTTGGTTCTTCTCATCCTTCAAAGCAAAATAAATAAATAAATAAATACCAGCAGCATAAACGTGGTTTATGTGCTCTACAAAGGGAGGCATGATATAATTATTCATGTAGGAATCTGACTACTGGGATCATTGTTATGTGTGGAAATTGGAATGCTCCAAGAACTTCCAAATATATTCCAGCAGCGTTTCCCCAGGGTTGAACTTTTTCTATTTATTCCAAAGTACTACACATTTATTATCGAGCACTTACAAAGGACGGCAAAGAATAAAGAAGAAAATTAAAATCAAACAGCCCTAGCATCTAGAAATGATGTCTGCTCAGGACCTGACTATTTTTCTCTTTCCTCCCCTTCCCTCCTCCTCCTCCTCCTCCTCCTTCTCTTCCTCCTCCTTCTCTATTTCCTCTTCCTCCTCCTCCTTCTTTTTCTATAATTTATATACTTTAAAAAATTGAGTGCAATTCCAATTTTTTGCAGTTGAGTTTATGACTAGAATTTATATCCTTCTCAACAAATGTATTATATGCTTTCCTTCCCCCCGAAAAAGAGGCATGGCATTCCTTTGGGACATGGCTGCCCATCATGTCCCAAGGGTATTTACTGAGGGGATCATGGTTGTGTCTTGGCCCTGAGGGCTTAGGGCTGTTTTGTCTCTCATCTTCTATCAGGAAACCTTGCCATGCATGGACGGTAACTCCTTATCCAGGTAACAGAAAGGCAGGCACTTTTCCAAAAGAGTCATTCACCCTTGGATCCTTCTGATTCTAGAACTCACTTTTCCGACATTTCCACAACACCTATCTGAATGTGGCCACTCTATCTATCATGGTGTCATGTCCGTGGACCATCCATGGAACTCAGGCATTGTGCAAACAAAAGGCCCTCTGCTAAAGTTTAGATCTTGAGTGTCTCCCAAAGACCCATGTGTTAAAGGCTTGGTGCCAAGCTAACACTATCGGGTGATGGTAGAAGAAGCTCCACCTCTTTTAGAGGTCTTTAGGTCATTGGTAGTGAGGCCTTGACAGAGACAATGAAACTGCAGCTCCTTCTTTTCTTCTCCATTGCTTCTTAGCCATGAAGGAAAGCTGCTTCACTTCCCATGTTTCCACCATCACGTGCTGCCTACAACAAGTCCAAAGCAATGGACAGCAAGTTCAAAACTGTGAGCCCAATGCACACCTTTTTCTCTTTATAAGTTTGATTATCTGGGTCATTTGTCATAGTGCTAGAAGAGTTAACTAAAACACTACCTAAAGTAGACTCGAATCCAACTTTTCCTCCCAACTTAGATGCAACCAGCCTTGGGGGAGTCAAGCCTAGGACAGTCAATGGAAAACACACTGTGAGAAATTCATGCAATGATTCTACTGAGAACACTGCTATTCCACTTGGCACCTCAATTCCACCTTCAAGGACTCTATAAATTAGCCACTGATGCTGTCCAAGAAATGTACCTATGAAATGTCCTCATGAAGACCTGCCCAGAAGCTGAGCCCTTGAGTCACTACAGGAAGAACTCCATGGCCTGTCTCACTAATGGGCAGAAAGCACACGGCATCTGCCAGGGTGTGGTCTGCAGGCAGGGGTGCAAATGAGAATTAAATGCTACTCCTTGTGAAAATTTAAATACATGGCAAACATATCAGGAGTTGGCAGGGATGCCCCCCTTTATCTAGCTGCCCACTCTGAAGAGGAAATGAGCAAGCTTGGGTAATTCCCACAGACAGGAGAGGGAACACGGGAGAATGTTCCAGAGGTCCTGAGCCAAGGGATATGTTCAAAAGCAAGTACGATTTAATTAGAGGAAGAAATATGTCTCCTTTTCCAAAATAAGACATACCAAGATGTTTTATTAAAGCAGGAAATAGTTTTCAAGCTAACATTTGTCTGTGCTCTGTACTGAGCAAAGGATTCTGATGGAGCCATCCATTTTCCCACCCAGGTACACTCTGGTTTTGCTTCAGTCTCTGACATTATGGAGAAGTGTTGCTAAGTTCTTCAGGATGTCTCTCCGCTGCCACAACTTATTAAGAAGCCGTTGTTGTTTTAATGGACTTAGAATTAGCGAGGGTTCCATTTAGGAGTCTTTGCTTTCTGTCTTTTTTTTTTTAAGCTACATTTGTGTCTTCTCTCTAGAGAAAGGCTTCTGTGGTTTGGGAGCTCAATTATTACCAATCTAATTAAAAGGCTTTCTTCTTTCCACCATCCCAATGAACAGAAAGCTCATTAGAACGACACTGGGTTTTTGCACCGGTATAGCAGCATGGGACCAACTCACGGTTTCAAACTGTAATCAACAAGCAGCAGCCAGACACCACCTGGCAGGGTAGGGATGCCAGAGAGAGCCTCTGTGGAGGCTCCCAGAGGAAGCCGGTGGAAGGATGCTGCCATGTTCCACGTGACTCTCCCTCCTCCCCTCCCGAGTCTGGAGCTCCCATTGGCCAAGCACTGTCACCTCTCACTTCCTATCCACCTGCTGCATGTAATGTATTCTCTCTCTCTCTCTTTCTCTCTCTCTCTCTCTCTCTCTCTCTCTCCCCCTCCCTTCCCCCCTCTCTCTCTCACACACACAATCAAATCTCTATCATACTGTAACCCCTGCAACTAGTTCTCATCCAACCTAGTTTTCATTCATTCCGTCAACATTTACTGAGCACCTCCAGTCTCTAGCGCTATGCTAGTCCCATATGTACACAGGGAATGGAATACTGCTCTTGAGCTCTTCTTGGAACATGAGATGGGGTGGGGTAGGACAAAACCATATAATGGCAATGGGTCTCTAAGTAGAGAGACCAGGGTCACAGAGGAAAAAGCAAGACCCTTCAGGGAGGCTGATGGGGAGGTGGACTTTACCCAGATTAACAAGGGCTGGTGTCTTTTTATTCTCTATGACCCTTTGTGCTTGTTTTTTGGTCGGCCCTGAGACTTGAACTCAGGGCTTGGGCACTGTCCCTGAGCGCTTTTGCTCAAGGCTAGCTTTCTACCACTTTGAGCCACAGCACCAATTCTGGTTTTCTGGTGGTTCATTGGAGACAAAAGTCTTACAAACTTTCCTGCCCAGGCTGGCTTTGAACCATGATCCTTAGATCTCAGCCTCCTGAGTTGCTAGGATTACAGGTATGAGCCCCAGAGCCTGGCCTGTATGGTCTTTTCACAATACCTATGGGTCCCAGCCTTGAGCCTTTGCCCCTTGACCCTCAGTGACAGTCCTACTTGCCAAAGTCCCATCCAGGTGACCTTATCTCCACACTGCTGTCGTCTGTGACCTCAGGTAAGGCCCAGCATCTACAGACTTGTCCCCTGGACAGTGGGTATTCCTGTCCAATTCCCAACCCTACCTCAAAGCTCACACAACAATAGTGAGCTTGAAAGGTGATAACAGTTAAGCCCACCACCTGCCCACCACTGTCTACACACTTCTTTCCCAGATGCAGCCTTTCCTGAATCCTCCCATGCCAGGCTCCCCAAGGCCCTCTCCTGCTTCTTGTCAGTCTTCTGCATCGAGAACCAGCAGTCAGCTTCAACCCTCAGCAGGGCTAACGTACCCAGGCAAAAACATCTGAGAATGTTCCAGGGGATCTTGAGCCAGGGAGGATGTTCAAAAGGAACTACAATTTAGTTCAAGGAAGAAAATATATCTCCTCTCTCCAAAATAAGATATATCAAGATGGGGTGTGTTTTTTGTTGTTGCTTCCTTTTAAATGTTCAGTTCTGATTTTTTTTCCTGTTACAAAGATGACGTACAGAGGGGTTGCAATTTACTTAAGTCAGATCATGAGTACAATTCTATTGGAACAGTGTGACCCCTTCCCTTGCCGTCTCCCCGTTTTTCCCTCCTGTCCCCCCCCTGAAGTTGTATTGTTCATTTTCTACATAGTGTCCAGTGAGTACCACGGCTGCATTTGTTCACTCTTTGTCCCTCCATTTCTGTGTCCCCCCTCCTTACCCTCCCAAAGACAGATAAATGAACAAACAAGATGATCAGAAAATAAAAGCAACAACAAAGAAAATAAAACCTCTTGTTTCCATTTCTTGGAGTTCAGTCGGATAAATATTATTTCATATGGTCAGAGGCACATAGGCATTTGCGTCTTTGTGCTCTTCCCCTGAGAATATCCTTCATTGGTCTCACTGTGTGTGACTGTCTAGAGTCCTGCATAATTTATCACGTCCTGTGTAGTTCAGATCTAGCTTCCTCATATGAGAGAAAACAGGCGCCTTTTGTCTCTCTGAGCTTCACTTACCTCACGAGCAGGATCTTTTGAAGCAGGAAATAGTTGTAGAGCTAACGCTGAAGCAACAGAGCCCCTGTGTTTGAGGGGCCTGCAGATGGAGAGTGGTCCACACTTGTCACTCTGGCCTCTCACACAAGATCATTTATTCAGGGCAGAGCAGAACTTGCAAGGGAGACCCACTTGGGTCACAGACCCACCTGGGGGGCCAGTTCCTCCCTCAGGAAAGTAGTTGCGCAGAGGCTGAAGCCAGCCTCCTGAGCAGCCTCGAACCCATTAATAACACCAGAATCCGGAGGAAGAGGCCTCTGCACCCCTTCCCTCACAAGCACGAGGCCACGCGGGCCAAACACTGGGATTCTTCTTGGGGTGGGGGGATGAAACTTCCCTCCTCGGCCCAGTGGTTTCTGGGTAAATGACAGCATAGGCCCCTGAGAAGCAGCACCCAATGGGGTCTGGGGGCAGAGGTGGACAGGCAGTGCGGACATGTAGCTTGGTCTTCTTGGCTCATTATGACTCTCTATAAACCCGGAGGCACGATTGATTTCTCAACAGGTGCTGGATATCTGAGAGGGAGGGGAAGGGGGAGGGGGGCATGAAGGAATGATGGTGTCTGGTGAAGGCCTTCCTCATTCATAAATGTCATCTTCTCCCTGTGTCTTCTCATATACCGGGGCAGAAGGGAATTAATACAGATCTACTGGTTTCTCTCTGTCTGTCTGTCTGTCTGTCTGTGTGTGTGTGTGTGCATACATGTTGGTTGGTGGTGAGGCTTGAACTCAGG